CTGGGATTTGTGGTTTGCTGACAGAGAAGGCTAAATGTCTCACAAAACTACAATTCCCAGAATTCCATAGCAATGAGCCATGGCGATTAAAAGTGGTGTCCAACTGGATTATTTCTGGACCAAAGTGGTGAAGAACTGGATGATTTCTGCAGTGCGGATGCAGCCCAGGTCTCCCTGGTTCCATCTGCACTGAAGTATTAATGCAGTTTGGCTCCACTTTAACTTCCATGGCTCATGATAAAAAGTTTAGATACAGTTGTTACATCAACCCATGGATAAGTTGACTCAGGTTTTGGGGGTTGATTTGTCAACTAAAATTTATAAACTTATACATGAGTATATAGTATTTTTCTTTAGTAAAGCTGCAGTTTCATTGGTTAAAAAAACCACTTTTGCTAATATAACATCTTAGCTAAACTTTGTTTTAAATTATTGTATGCTGCCTTGCATGCCATGGCAGGAGAAAGGAAGGGTGTAAATTGCAGAAAGAAACAAAGAAAGGAAGGAAGGAAAAGAGCTATTCTGCCACCTTAACAGGTTTTAAGGTGGCACAGTAATTTCCCCTCCTTGACAGATATTCTGCGGTGCAGCAAAGAAGGTGTTGGAAGCATGAAGGTCAGATGTGTGTTTATGCAAAATGTTTTTTGGCTGCTTAGATCCGGAAAGGCTTTGAAACAGTGTAGAAAGATGATAAAAATGTAACATGTAAGAAGACACAAAATTATTATGTTTATCTTTTCTGGGAAATGGATGTCAAGTTGGACTCGAACTTGGGAAATGCTTGGGAAAATTAAGGACATTGATAAATTAAAAATGGTCTTGGAATACGTCCAAGATCACATCCCCCTGATCTGGCCAGGAAAACCCCAGTTAATCCTCTGCTGTCCCACTTTTTCAGGTGCTTTTGAAATGTCCCGATTTCTCTCTCCTCCTCCCACTTTGCTTATTTTGTCCTCAGCTTACTTCAGTTTTCTGCAAACTGAGTTCAAAGCTCAGAAGGAGTTTGCACTGAATTAACTCAGGAGCTCAGAGGTGAGAGCAGGGACAAAGGCCCAAAACACACTGCAGAAATAATCCAGTTTGAGACCAGTTTAACTGCCCTAGCTCAGTGCTAGGGAATTTTGGGAATTGTAGTTTATTGTGGCACCAGAGCTCTCTGACAGAGAAGGCTAAATGTCTCACAAAACTACAGTTCCCAGAATTCCCTAGCATTGAGTCAGGGCAGTTAAAGCGGTCTCAAGCTGGATTATTTTCTGCAGTGTGTTTTGGACCTAAACATGATTTTTCCTTCTAAGCAGAAATGGTTGCTTTGTATTTCTTAAACTGTCAGTTCTTTCTCACTTCTTCCACTCTCTTAATCATGTATTTAAATTTGAAATTGAAGTTCTTCCTTTATTTGTTTAATAATTTTCATTCGTTTTTATAGAAGCTTATATTCAGAGAGCAGCTTTCAAATCAAAGGGCAATAAAGCATTAGTCACAAAAGAGCTTTTATGGGCCAGAATCATCTTTCAGCAACTTCTACTCTTCTGTGAGTCACAATTAAGAAACTCAGCTGAGTAACACACAGTTTGATCGTTCTGATAGTACACCCAACACCGCAACTGTGGGATCATGGGATCTGTAGTTTGGCTTCGGGATTGTCTGCTAGAGAGCACTGATGCTGCAAGTCCAAGCATGCATGTGTTGAAAGCTCTCTAGCTGAGAGGTCTAAACACCTTGCCAAACTACAAATCCCAGGTCTTCATGCTATGGGGCCCCACAGCAGTTAAAGTGGGCTGAGACAGTTTTATAACTGTGCTGCAGCCAGGATTAGTAATGCAAAATGAATCAAAAACATGCATGCACATTCATGGCGCTTACAGCCAGAGGATAGGTTAGACATAGAAGGATTGCCAGATTTTTATCTAGGGTTCCCACATCTCCAGGCCTGGCCCTGAATTTCTAGTTTTCCTGGGTCATGTCCAGGCAGGAGAGACGGGTGCAAATTCTCCAGTTTTGGTGGGCTCAGCTCCTGGCAAGAGGAAGGGCTGGGTGCAAATCTTCCGCTCAGCCAGGAGAGGAGCAGCTACCAAAAGTCTGCAAGGATTAATTGATTTGCTGCTGCAACTTGCAAAGAACTCTCCAGGTGGTCTGTGTATCGACTCAGGTCCAAAAACACACTGCAGAAATAATCCAGATTGACACCACTTTAACTGCCATGGCTCAGTGCTAGGGAATCCTGGGAATTGTAGTTTCTTGTAGCACCAGAGCTCTCTGACAAAGAAGGCTAAATGCCTCACAAACTACAGGTCCCAGAATTTCCTGGCATTGAGCCAGGGCGGTTCAAGCAGGGTCAAACTGGATTATTTCTGCAGCGTGGTTTGGACCTAATTCAATTTCCAAACTGGAAAAAAAACCCACCATGTTTGCATATACGTGTGAGTGTGTGTTAAATGACAAGTTGTGTGCAAATGTGGTTGGCATCGAATGAAGAAATGCTTAATCATGTCACCAGGGGCTCTCCCTAACTCTCAGGTTTTGGCTTGGAAATCTCAGTATCTGAGACAAGCCTGAAATGGAAACCTTGGTCTGAATAGTAGTCTGTGTGACCTACATTGCAGGGCTGTTGGGTCCTGCTCTCTCAGCCTCACCTGTAAAATGGGAAAGTCTGTAAACTGGTATTTTTTAACTTGAATCCAGCTGCAGAGTTATTGCAACCTCTCAGGGCTGGAATGGTGCATTCACAAGGCTATCCTCCTCTCTTCCAACCTGAGCTCCTGCATTCCCTTTGCTATTTGCACTAGCAGGTGTGTGTGTGTGTGTGTGTGTGTTTGAAATGCATCACACAAAAGGAAGCAAGAACCCATCTCTTTGCACAGAGAAAGACGGTGGACATTCTGGCCTTAGCTAAATCTTGGGTTTCTCTCTTGGTGTCTATAGACACTAGGGACTAGCCTTTCCACTTCCATAGCCAGTTCAGTTCAGTTCAGTTCATCTTTGTTACGGTCATAGACCAGCACAGGTAAAAAAGGGATACAGAATAAAAGAAGGTGATGTTAAAAAGAATGGTAAAATCAAGGTAAAAACAGGGTACAAAACTAGGCAAAGACACAGATTAAAAACAGTATAGCCCCAACAGGATTCCCACCATGTGCTGTTGGGGATACAGAATAAAAGAAGGTAATGATAAAAGCAAGGTAAGAACAAGACAAAAGCCAGGTAGAAACAGTATTTCCTTTTAAAATCCTCTGTGGCAGGGCAAGATTAATACTAGTCTATTGCAGATGGATTTTAACTGCAGCGGCGCAGAATCTGGCAACGTTATGTGTGATATCCATACCCAGAGAATATTATGAAATACAGTGGTTCCTCCACATTTGTTGGAGTTAGTGGTGAAGGACCCCCATGAATGTGTAAAAATTGCAAATTAAAAAAAACACAAACCACTATTTCTTTTTACCTAAAAAAACCCACCGCTCTAGGATTCTCTCCAACACAACTCTATGGTCAACATCTGCCAGATGTTGATCATAGAGTCATGCTGGAGGACCTACAAATGCCTAAAGTGTTTTCTCTAGGAACTTCTTCTAGGTCCTCCAGCGCAACTCTATGGTCAATGTCTGGCAGAGTTGCGCTGGAGGATTCCTAGAGATTCCTAGAGAGAACATATTAACCCAAACCACAAATAATCAAATTCAGAAAAATCAAAACCACAAATGTGGAGGGTTGACTGTAGCTTCTGAATGCATGAACTGGGCCATGACCTTTCCAGGGACCTTTTCACATTACACAATTAGAGCACCATGGCTGCATCCGCACTGCAGAAATAATCCAGTTTGACCCTACTTTCTTCTAGGAATATTTTATTAAGAAATTATCAATATAGAGTCTGGAAACATACCAAAAGTGCATCAGATAACTGTGGCCATAATTCAAGAAAAGGTCAGTATCGCCGCAAATGATCATAAGTGTTTTCTGACATGCCACTTCCATTCAGGGAAGTTCAAAATTTCAGGGTTAGTTTGTTATTTTTTGAATAAGAAATCCACTTAGAAAGACTGTCTCATTATTTATTTACATGTCATTATTTATTTATTCATTCACAAATAAATATGCCCTGAGATTTTTCAGTTACCCAAGAGTTTGTGCTCGCTTTTTTTTTTTTTTTTAAAAAAGCAATAATTCAGTGCTAGTTGATTATGATCCCTATTAATTTTGGGCTGCATTAAAATTAAAGAGGACACTTGGGAGGAGAAATCAGAGGTGGCGGCAGCGGCGGCTGTTGCCATCATCGTCATCATGATTATTATGATTATTATTATTATGGCCTAATTGCTTTGAGGACCCAAGAAAGAGGCTGCTGTTGCATTTGTTGTTTTACTGATGCCCTATTAAGAAATGAATTGGCTCTTGAACCATGAAGAGTCATGTATGCAGGAAATCTCCCTCATTTTATGTTACAAGAACACTCACCAACCAATGGGCTTCTGAGGCTGCATCCACACTGCAACAATAATCCAGTATGAAACCGTTTTAACTGCCGTGGCTCCATGCTATGGAATCCTGGGACCTGTAGTTTGTGTGGCCCTGTCAGGGAAGGCTAAATATCCAACAGAACTACCAGTCCCAGAATTCCATAGGATAGAGCCATGGCAGATAAGCTGTGTTGAACTGGATTATTTCTGCAGTGTGGATGCAGTCTTTTTCTTTCTTTCTTTCTTTCTCTCTCTTTTCCTACTCACTGTTTATAGCGGCAAGCCAGTCTTGAAGCCTCCTTTTCTCTCTGGTAGCCAAGGTGGCTTGCCACAGACCACAAGAGGGAGCCCAGAGGAAAGTGTGAACCTTCAAGAACGAATTGTGGAAGGGAAGGTGGAGTATGGCCCCCCCAGGGCATTGCAAGAACTTAATTATTGCTGTTTCCAAACATTCGTTTTTGCATGGGATGAGATGCTTCCAGCAGAACCTCAAGCCTTGAGAAGAAGTTCCTTCCCACCAAGAATTGTTCTCTAATGGTCTCAGACAGTATAGTGTAGTGGTTTGAGTGCTGGGCTTGGACTTCCGGAGATCAGGGTTCGAATCCCCGCTCAGCCCTGGAAACCCACTGGGTGACCTTGAGCAAGTCACACTCTCTCAGAGGAAGGCAAACGCAAACTCTCTCTGGACAAATCTTGCCAAGAAAGGTCTAGAATAGAGTCACCAAAAGTTGGACTCAATTTCAAGACACATAAAATGGTGGCCAGTCTGTTGAATTGGTTTGACTGTAGGACTAGGACTCTGGGAGATCAGAGTTCAAATCCCTGCTCAGCCATGGAAACCCATTGGGTAACTTTGAGAAAGTCACACTCTCTCAGAGGAAGGCAAAGGCAAACTTCCTGGACAAATCATGCTAATAAAGCTGTAGAATAGAGTCACCAAAAGTTGAAATCAGTCAAAAGTTTGAGTCAATCTGAAGACACATAAAATGGCGGCCAAGCTGTTATAGTGGTTTGAGTGTTGGACTAGGACTCTGGGAGATCAGAGTTCGAATCCCCGCGCAACCCTGGAAATGGGTGATCTTGGACAAGTCATGTTCTCTTGTATCAGGCTTGCTGATGGAGTCACTGTAACAATAATGTATTATCCTCAGTGTTTTCCCCCCAGGAATTTGGGGAAGGGGGCCTTGCCCAATGTAAGCGAAATGTCATCAGTGTATAGTGCTATCTTGTTTCTGCTGATTTCTCGCCTCTGTTTCCTTTGATCTTCTGGGAGAGGCAATTTTTTGGTCTGAGAACTGTGGTAATAGAGGGCATAAAATGAAAAGTTGAATTTTCTGCAATATCAAAGGGTCTTTTACTTCGTGCCTTCTTCTGTTTAAATTAACATTTTGGAAAGAAAAAAAAAGCATTCCAGTGAACAAGGCTTGCCTTTTAAAAGGCCAGCACAAGACCTGTTAAGAATTTAGCCCATAAAATGGAGAAAATCACACACTTTGGGATGATAAAGCTGTAGAGACACTAAAGCATTTCTTTATTCTGAGCTGGACATTGATGCTCGACATCCTGATTCCTACCTCCACAGATTCCTGTCTTGAAAGAGTAAGTTTCTTGTCACAACTACATTAAGAACCAAAGGCAGACAGAAATTGTTTTGTCTGGCGGTAAGTGTATTCTACAATAAATTCAAGAATATTTCTCCCCTCCTGAATGCAAATGGCACAGAAAATTAGCACATTCCCTTTGCCTTTTTACAGTCTCTTCCCACAGATGGTAAATTTTTATTGCACATAATCGTAGAAGTTGTAATAGCAAAGTCATCCCAATATGAAATTCTTCCCACGTGTCTTGGAAACAGTGAGGCTCTGAGACAGTGTCTCAGACTTCGCCATAGGTGTTTATTCTGAGCTTTCATGCTGTTATTGTTATAGGTGATGGCTGGAGTGCCCCAGGTCAGTGGGGCGATGAATCCATTCCAGGCCTTGGCTAGTTTTAAAGGGGTTCTGCAAGGTGTGCTGAACCTATTTGGATTCAGCACCTTGGACAGCGGATAGCCATCTGGTTATAGAGCTAGATCAGTGGTCTTCAAACTGGAGGATGGGACCATCTGGGGATGCAAGACTTGGTCATTGACAAGACATGCCTTTGTTCCAGGCAATGGACTTTTGTCCCTGTCATGCCACATCTTCAAACTACAAGAAAGGATTCAAGCGAAAGGATTTTAAACAGAGGCTGGATGGTCATCTGTCACAGGGAGGGCTTGGATTGTGTCTTCCTGCATGGCAGAATGATATAGGACTAGATGGCCCTTAGAATCATAGAGTTGGAAGCGACCTCAAGAGTCATCCAGTCCAACCCAATTCTGTCATGCAAGCACACACGATCAAAGCACCCCCCAACAGATGGCCATCCAACCTCTGTTTAAAAACCTCCAAAGAAGAAGATTATGCCATACTCTGAGGCAGTGTCTTCCATTGTCAAACAGCTCTTACTGTCAGGAAGTTCTTCCTAATGTTGTGGTGTAATCTCTTTTCCTATAGTTTGAATCCATTGCTCCTACGTGTCCTATTCTCCGGAGCTGCAGAAAACAAGCTTGCTCTATCCTCAATATTTGACACCCCTTCAGATATTTAAACAGGGCTATGATGTCACTTTTTAACCTTCTCTTCTCCAGGCGAAGCATACCCAGCTCCTTAAGTCATTCCTCATAGGGCTTGCTGGTTTCCAGACCTTCCACCATTTAGGTTGCCCTTCTCTGGACATGCTTCAGCTTGTTGTCTCTTTCAGTTCTATGATTCTATCTTTAAAATGAGGTGTGAGAACAGATGTGCACCTCTGGTGTCCCCTCTGAAGTTTTGAGGGCAGCAGATGCATATGACTCTACTTCCTCTAGAGTCAAGTTGGACCATCTTCTTAGCACTCAACCAGGGCTGTGGCTGATCTTTGTGGGGGGCCATCCAAGCACTTCACTAAACTGTCCAATTGGTAGTAGTGCTGAGAGTGCAAAAAGTGTGCAAAAAGAAGGGGCTTGATCAATGAGAGCTTATGGCCGACATTTGCTGGGTTGCCTCTGCAGGCCCATAGACCAGGCTTCATGCCTTCATTGTCCTTCTACTTGCAAGTTATGACGGATAGTGGAGACAGGTGAGCTTTTACTGTCCTTGGGTCCATTGGGCACTTGGCTGCCTCCATCTCTGCTCACAGGTGCAGAAAGACTGACCTCCTCCTCCTCCTCCACTTCCAAACTTTTGCTGTCCTGGAGGGGAAGAGAAAGAAGAAAGTCCAGGAGTCAGAAACTGGCCAAGACTCTGGGCCTTTACAGACAGCCAGAAATAATGCAGCTCGCGTCCACTTTAACTGCTCTGGCTTGATGCTAGGGAATCATGGGACCTGTAGTTTTTTCTGAGACATTGAGCCTTCTATGCCAGAGAGCTCTGGTGCCACAATAAACTACTGTCCCCATGATTCCCTAGCACTGAGCCAGGGCAGTTAAAGCGGACTCAAGCTGCAGTATTTCTGGCAGGCCTTCTGTCTTCCAAGGGTTTTGGCCTCTTGGAAACCTTGGAATTGAGCAGAGGAGAGAGAGTGTGGCTATGCTTGTCACTTTAGCTCCAAAGCCCAAGCCTGGTTATTTGGCAGGCCAGCGCTCTTCAGATATGACTGTTCTCTGGCTTTTTCTCTTCTTTCTGGGGTCATCTTTTCTAGTCAGTTTACAGAAAGGCCCAAAGGGAGAGGACAGGGAAAGCCAACTCTGCAAGCTGCATTTTAACACACAGACACAATTCCAAAGTCATCACAAACAATTTCCTCCAAGTGAAGAATAAGGCAAAGTAGAATGCTGGTCACCATCTATACAGCTTCCCTGCTGCCTCTGTTGTAGGGACAGCCATAAATCATTTTTTAAGTATTATTATTATCATCATTATCAGTGAGTGGGACTTCAGCTACATGGGGGAAATGGGTCTAAGGCTGAGTTTCATAAATATCCTTTCCTAACCTAGAACCCACAGTTCTCTCACTGTCAAAAAGTGTAACTCAAAAGGAAACCATCAGCTACAATGATTTTCAACACTGTTTTTGCCAACATTGTCCAAAAAGCTGCAACCACATGCATTAAGGAACTTATACATGCAATAAACATGTGTATGATGCCAGTCATTTCTTTGTTTCTCTGTCTTTCCTGAACCAGATTACAGCATCTTTTAAATACAACAGAACAGTTACTACTACTGAACAAGTGTGAAGGTATGTGAAAGCCCTCCTGTCCCAGCATTCAGTTGACTTTTGGCTTCTGGAACCATGACAGGGCTTAGAGAATTTGGGAGTAGGAAGGAGCCGAAATTAAAATAGGCTAAACTTCTGTGGGCAGCAGATAGGTTTTAATTAAATATTTATTAATATATTAATTATTATTTATATTTAATATTATTTAACATTATTTATATTAAATATATTGAATATTATCAATATTAATTCCATCCTCTTCCTCCTCTGTCTGGCCCTTTCCTCAGGAGAAAGCCAAACTGCAGAGGAACCTTGTAGGGCTAATATTTGGCTGTCCTCCACCTACTTCGCTGCCTGGCCTCCTCCTCATGAGAAAACCGGGTGGCGGAGGAGCCTCCTCCTTCGCTACCTGGCCTTCTCCTTGGGAGAAAGCCAAGCAGCAGAGGAGCCTCGTAGGATGAGTGTTTGCCCTTCTTCTTCCTCCTCCTCCTCCTCCTCCTCCTCCTCCTCCTCTTCCACATGGCCCTTTCCTCAGGAGAAGGCTGAGCAGCAGAGGAGACTTGAAGTCATTCCACATCCTTGTGGGCCAAAAGAAATCCTGTGGTGGGCCACATGTGGCCCCTGAGCCATATGTTGTTCAGGCCTGTTTTAGAGGAAATGGCTGCCATGTGGTGCTAAGGGGATTTTGTCTGGGCTCTTGGTGTCCTGTTTTAAAGCAGACAAGCACCCAAGAGTGTATACCTCCAGTCCACAGAGACTAGCCAGGGAAAGGCCAGCAGAGCTGGTGATGCCAGCATCAGTAGAGGCAGAAGCATAATTCAAACAGTACAAAGTCAAATAAAACAAACAGCCATGAGCCAAGGCCAAAAGTGAGAAGGGAGTTGGCCAAGAGATTTATAAAAATTCAAGTCAATGGTCAGTGATACACAAAGCCAGGTTACCAGGAAGCATTGGATCTATTGTCTACCGCACCAAAATGGACTTGGCTGAGCTAATTTATTTGTTGTTGTTAATTGCCTTTGAGTCAGCCCTGACTCATGGTGACTCTCATGGCAACATCTCCAAGACCTCCATCGTCCACTGCTCTGCTTGGGTCCTACAGGAGTAGGTTCAGCCTCCCTGACTGAGTCCATCCATCTGGCATGCAGTCTTCCTTTCTTTCTACTACCTTCTACCTTTCCTAACATTATTGTCTTTTCCAATGAGTCATGCCTTCTCATGATGTGGCCAAAGTACGACAGCCTTAATTCAATCATCTTGGTTTCCAGGGAGATTTCAGGCTTGATCTGTTCAAGGACTCATTTGTTTGTCTTTTTGGCTGCCTCTGGTATCCTCAGCACTCCTCTCCAGCACACATCTCAAATAAATTGATGTTCTTTCTATTGGCTTTCTTAA